TTCTGCTAATTGTCTGCTATACAGGGTTAGTATAACTGAGATGAGGAAGCATTCTGACTTGTTTTTATCTTATCAAGTATCCCCAAAAAGTAGTATTTTAGAATTATTGAGCAGCCCAATCTTACTATTACTTTATTGATAAGCATTACCACTAGGCCGCATAAACTTTGCAGAAAAGAGTTAGGCTAATATTGGCCTTAAAGAATCTACTTGTGTTTTGTTTGTTTTAAACACCAGAAAAGCAAGGTCCACTAACTCAGCAGACAGAATCAATTTCTATGAAAAATACTGGCTCTGTAGGCGGACTCAATTAATTACTGCACCCATTAGTATATAGTTTGTGATAATATGTATATAAATGTCTCGATTTACATCTGATGACACAAAACTCTAAAACTAGCAGGGTGGTAAAATCAAAATCACTCTTATCTGGGAGTGAATGAGCAATAAAATAATGGATTTCACACCCACACTATAAAATCTGAGCTAGTGGCAGCTGACTGGGAAAGGGATCTTGGGATTGTGGTGGAAAAGCAATAAAAATCATGTTGCAAAGTGCAGCAGCACAAAGGAGGGCAAATTCCATGTCAGGGATCATTAGAAAAAGGGCTGAAAATAAAGCAGTCAGTATTGTAGTATCTAGATCATGGTGTCATCATAAGTGGAGTACTGTGTACACCTTTTTCTTTTTTAAAGAATTTAAAGAAGCTTACATTATTCTCTTCTTCCTGCTCTCAATCATATCCCAACCACAATCAGGACTGAGAGCCAGTGTGGAGGGGTGGTTAAGAGACTGGGACTCAGACGATCAGGGTTCCAGTCCCTGCTCAGCCATGGAGCCAACAGGGTGACTTTGGGCCAGGCACAGACTCTCAGCCCAACCTTCCTCACAGGGTTGTTGTTGTGGGGAAAAGATGGAGGAGGAGAATGATGTAAGCTGCCTTGAGCTCTTTGTAGGAAAAAGGCAGGATATAAATTGAAAAATAAATAAATAAAAATAAAAAAATCCTGTGAGGTTGTTAAGGCTGAGAATCTATGACTGGCACAAAGTCACTCAGTTGGCTCCACTAGAAACAGTCTCAGTACCACACTCTTAACCGCTACACCACACCGGCTCTCAGTCCTGATCACTTCACCTCAAAAAGGATTATTGTAGCGCTGGAAAGGGTACAGAAAAGGGCAGCCAAATGATCAGAAGATTGGACCAATTCTGCTACGAAGAAAAATCACAACGTTTTTACTATTTAGATTAGGAAAAGTGAGTAAAGGAAAATATGATAGATACCTTCAAAATGGACTTAAATTCATGGTGAATATATCGGGGGCTCTTTATTGTAAAGGCTATACACTGGGTTCCAGGATTAGAAGGCATCTGCCCCTGAATACCATTTGCTAAAGAAATGTAGTACCAAAAGATTATTACTTGTGGGCTTTCCTTAGACATCAGGTTGGCCGTAGCAGGAAACAGGATGCTGGACTAAATAGGCCTTTGGTCTAATCCATATATTATTCTGTTATATGAAGAAAGCTAAAACAGAGTGAGGAATGGTTAGAGACACTAGTAGCCATGGTAAAGTGTTTTGTTTTGAGTTTGCTTGTAATTTTACTTGTTGCTACTCTAACTTCATAAAAAAGGATTGAAAAATCGGCCTGGAAAACCTTGTTCTACTGCAAATCACCCAGAGATCCCAGTCTTCCTGTGGTCCTCCTTTCTATAACAGCCTGAAACAAGAGAACTTCAGATAGCTCTGCAGAAACTTTATTTACATGATGGAACTCTAAATCCTCACACATGACCATCACCATTTTCTTGAAATTGATCTTGTGAACTATTTCTATCACTCCAGATGGTTTAAAACAAACAAACTACCCTATTTTTCGCTCTATAAGACACACTTTTTCCCCCCTCAAAAGGGGAAATGTCTGTGCGTCTTATAGAGCGAATGTGTGTGTGCCTGAGCCCGGGACGCTGCCGGCCGCCTGCACCACGTGGCACCACCTGGCTGGCATGCGCTCGGCGCGCCCTGCTCTGCCCCCCCCCCCCGTGCAGGTGAGAGCTGTGCCGCTCAGGGGGAGAGGTGCGGAGGAGGAGGAGGAGCCGCGGGCTTTAACCTGCCGGCCGCACGGAGAGACGGACTGCTCACCCCCACCGCCTGGGAAGACCTGCCGCCACGCCACCCGGAAGACCACCGCCGGCACGCTGCCGGCCCGGCTGCACCACGTGGCACCACCTGACTGGCACGTGCTCGGCGAGCCGTGCTCCTCTCCCTCCTCCGGCACAGGTGAGAGCTGTTAATCACAGGTCGGTGTGTGTTTTCAAATGGCAACCTGTCTTTTAATGAAGCCCATGGGGAAGTGATGGGGAATGTGCCTGTGATTATCAGGAAGCTTTCCATGGATCAGTTATCTGTTAGTTGATCAGACACTTTTTTTTAGGATCAGTGGATATTTGAACAGCATTACCCTCGTGTATGAAGTTTATTCTTCAAAGGCTACTTAGTCCGCTGTGTGTTTGATTTACCGTACAATATCTCATTTTTTGTCAGAAGTTCTTTTTCTATTATTTACTAGTAGGGCAGCGTGGACATTACTGGCTTTTTTAGATTTGTTATTGAATTGTCTGCAGCAGCTCTTGTATAACTGGTGGATTGTGGATTCCTTCAATAATTCCACTACTGACTAAGAAAGTGATGTCAGCGATTGTGAGCAACAGAGCTTCATAAATTCTGACTCTAGTGATGATGAGTTCTATGGATTCAATGAACACTAGAAGAGTATTCGAACTTTAAAGTCTCTCTTTTGTTAATGACAGTGATGATGGTTCTTAATGCCACTGTTGACTGCTGTTCACTTTACAAGGTTGAAATACAGTATTACTGTATTCTGTTATAGTTTATTAAATAGTTTAGCAAACCATTTGATTCAGAATATTTTTTTCTTGTTTTCTTCCTCCAAAAACTAGGTGCAACTTATGGTCAGGTGCGTCTTATAGAGCGAAAAATATGGTAAAAAACAAACCAAGTAAAGAATAATTGTTAATCCTGGTGGCAGCTGTTAATCCTTATGGATTGGCAGGGACAGCAAGTTGCATGAAGTGAGAGTATTTTGTCCCACTGTCCAGGATATACAGAGCACAGCAAGTGTTCCCTGCAAGCCAAAAGGGTCAACATGGTATCTTATGCACCACTCTGAGGTGGTGTGAAAGCCTGGCAAATGTTTTCACAAGCCCCTTCTAATTTCAACTGGTTTGAATTTCAAATCCTGTAAACAAACACTGGACCATTCAAACATACTGAGATGCACAGAGCTGACTTAAAGCTGACTTCAAAAAATAAGCAAACCACAAATCACACAAAAAAACCCCAAGAATACACAAATACTAATGGTGGAAAGGCAAGAATTGACTGTTTTAATAAATTTGGTAGAAAAACAAAATAAAAATAAACCATGTGCAGAGAGTAACAATCAGATCATGCTGTTAGGTGCACAACTATAAAAAGAGTATAATTGAAAGTATCATAAGTATGTTTGTGTGATGCATCAAGTACTTCTTGACAGAAACTGTTAGATGATTTGGGTATGTAACAAAAATGTATGTTGCTACAAAAAGACAGTTAAAACCACAAACTATAATAAGCATCAACATGTATACCTTGTCTTCTTTACCACTCTCAGCACACTATTTTACAGATTTATTCAAAAGTTAGTCCTACTATATTTAAGGAGGCATATCCATAGGTAAGTATGCATAGGTTACAAATGTGTGATTCAGTTCTGAGACTGGTGAAAAAGACACCAAACTCTAATAGGCAGATTTTCTTTCTTTGTAAGTTACAGGCTGCTAAACCCAGCATACCAAAGATAAACATTTGATACAGGAAACCCAATGACTCTGTTCTGCACATGGCTGACTATCTTTTGTTTATAACATTCTACCCAAACAGCAGTCTGTAAGAAGGTGTCTAGCATAAATTAGATTCAATATTGAAGCAATTAATGGAATAAGCAGAAATGTTTACAGATTTATATCTGACTAAAAGTATTTTGATTTTTCACACAGTGTTATTTAAGAGCAGTCCATCTTGTAGTGGAAGCTGAGGAGAGCCCTAGCGTGAAACCCACAGGAAGCGGCAAGAGAGAAAGTCCATCAAAGAAAAGCTGAAAATTATTCAGCTGTAACCAATGACAGCTGCAGTTGCAATACATTAGTTAGTCTATAAGGTACCACAGGACTCTGCCTGCAATCCTATGTGCAGTTTTCATGGGGATTATTGCCAAGAATACTTATGACCGGAGTTCTGACTTGCTCACTTGAAGGAACTAACTTGATTGTTCCCTTGGAAGCTATTCAAAATTTCTTATATGACAAAACCTGAAGCACAGGAAGAATTAAATGACATGAAAATAAATGCAAGAAGAAAAGAGAATAAGGGAAATGTAATATTTTGCTTGACAGATCCTGATCACAATTTGAACGTATATCATAAAAATGAAATTTCATCTGTGTCAGACTAATCATAAGCAAATGCAAATAATAAAAATAACCCTAACATTCCAACTAAAAAATCATTTTTTCCTAGAATACTTTGTCCCAAAGAGATACGCTTCAGAATACGTGGAATCTATTTTGTGCAATACTTTACAGACTCCAGGCTTCACTTAAATTTTATTCTAAAACTTAAGATAAATCCCACCCCTCTCAAATAAGATCAGCGATGTAAAATGGAAGTGATCTAAAATTATAGGACAGTTCCTCTTTGAAAAGTACATTACACATTAGGTTCTGTTAGCTGCTCTGTTTCTCTCTAAAGAGAACTGCTTTTTCAGTACTGGATGATGTATGGGATCCCTACTCCTAACATGCCCACTAATATATTACTTTTATTTTCATTCCTGTAAGAGAAATGGTTGCTCTCTGTCATTTCACACCAATGGCATTGTACATTTTTAAAAAGCAAGCACTGTATAACATTTCACATTCCATAATAAGGAGCACTTACCGAAGATTCACTGTCTCTGACAAGGAAGTCCCCTTCCACTCCCCTTTCATTCAGAGCACATTCTGCCTGATGCCGAGTAACATTCCCATAATACCATTCTCTTCCTGCAAACCGTCCTGTAGAAGAGGGTCCTGTGTAGCTTATTGGAGGTGGATGGGAAGTGTTAATATTAGGCCCGTCACTTAAGATTACTACATAGTTTTTGGGAACAAGACCAATTTGCCCTCGAGAATTTTTACATTTCCACCATTCTGGGTCATTTTCAGGTTTCTCTATGACTTCCATGGTTTCTCCTTTCTCAAAGTTGAGCTCTTCTTCTGTGACAGAACTGAATGGATACAAGGTCTGAACAATGTGAAGTACTTTCATGGCCTGACCATTACTCATGGATGCTCCCTTCCTCAAACTTAGAAAACTCGGTGAATCAGCAGTTGCCTCTTCAACTTCCTCCACTACATAGTTTGAAGGAAACCAGCCAATTTGTCCATTGTAGCTCCCTCTCCACCAGCCATCACTGCATTTTTCCATAACAATGACTCGAGATCCTTTTACAAGAGACAGTTCATCTTCCCTCTCTGCCACATAGGCAAATTTAACATATGCTGGGATGTTCAAATCATAAATCCGATCAGCACTGCTACCATTGGATGGGTACTCTGCATCAGTGCTAGGGGTTGGTGAGGCATCTCTGGCACTTGTCTTCCGCTTCGTTTTACCCAAACCTGTAAGATGAAAATAATAATAGGACTTTCAAATAAGCTTTCAATAAATTTAGTTTGCTAAATTAACACAGAACAGAAAAAATTCCCAACTTTTCCTTAGATCTGACAACAGAAAATATCGGATACAGAAGACTGGAGTTATAGCTCTAGAAAAAGTGTCAGAGGGAGAAAAAATGCTAACATTTTAATGTTTTGAAAAGTGTCCTTTTATCTCAAAAGGACAGCTACCAAATGAAGCTCTGATGTGCCCTATCAGTACATTTCTTTCCTTTCAATGTATTTCTTTACTAAGCCACTAGAGACTTAACAGAACTATAGAAAGGATGGAAAAAGGAACACTATTTTTATAACCAGCCATGCCTTAGGCTGCAGTGTGAGAATGACATCTCTTAAAATGTAACCAGCCAGTTTTCCTTTAATTTTAGCTACAACAAATAAGTCAAGAAATAAAACAAGTTAGAGAATGTACAGTTAGTGTTTTACGAATCTGGCTTCCTTTTGCCATTCATTTTGGTTCCATGGCAATATAAAGTAATAAAAATAATTTCCAATAGAAACTGTTGTAAACACAAGCTCTTTTTGTGCATTTTACTAGGATAATTTGACACTAAAGATGTACCCATAAGGACATAGATTCACAGAAACTTAGAGATGTGATAGTTTATAACTAAGCTGCATGCTGTATGCTATAAGTATTACTTAGGGTCATACCTTTGAATAAAAATGACCAAGGTTAAAAGACTGATTTTTTCCAGTAGTGCTGGAAGAATATCCATCCTGAAACCCCAGAGAGTCATAGCCAGTGCTGACAATACTAAGTTAGGGTGAACAGAGACTGGTCCTGGATTGGGAGTAGGGAGAATCAGGTTCTACTGCCTACTTGGCCATGCAGCTTACTGGGTGACTTTGGTCTAATCCCTGACTCTCAACCTAACCTACCCCACAGAGTTGCTGTGACAATGAAAACAAAGGAGACAAATAAGCTGCTTTTTGGTCTTTGGAGAAAAGTGAGATATAAAGGTAACAAACAAAGCTAGGTCAACCAGTGATCCTGCTTGAAATAAGGAAGGAATCCTACATTTGTACAGTTCTGCACAGGGACAGCTGGAACCTTTCATACCTGAGAACCTTTCACTTCGTTCCTGGGAGTGCTGCAATATTCTGTAAAAGTCTACTTTAAAAACCAACAACAGAACCCCAAATGTATACCAAATATCAACCATTTCACAGAACATTATTCATTCCAAATATTACTAAAGATCCAAGATATGAACAATGTGTTAGCTCCCTGTCACAAATATGCTATATTTCTTAGTTCTGTACCACTGAAAGTTGTACCTAATGATACTTCAGTTATATTCCAGGCTCAAACCTGCAGGGCATAAAGCAAAGCCTAAGTGTATTTTGCTGTTTCAAGTGTAGAAAATATGCTCCAAAAAACAAAACAAATCAAAAGCATTCACCCCTTATTTTAAATGGAATAGCAAACAACTGAAGTTTTGCTCAACGTTGTAATAGAGAATTGATGGTATTTTGGCTAACGTAAGAGAAAACCATTCTGATGTGGACAGACAGTAAACAGTAAATAATCATAAAAAACCACTGAACCAAAAATAAAGTAAAATGCAGCAGCATTAAAAAAACACATCCTCTTCTAAACAGTGCTCTCTCACACATACCAATTTAGTATGATTACATCAGGGTTTAATTACACACCAAACAGTTCAACTTAAATGCTTGTCTAGAGCTGCTCCACGTACCTGTTGCATTCTGGCAGAAAATTCACCTAAATGACATAAATACCTATCCGCTAAACAAAACGGAAGTTGAAACAGCAGCAGCAAAAGGGAAGGGGCATATGGTTGTGCTGGTTAAACCAATCCAGGCAGGTCCAAGTGCCTTTATTTGCCTTTTTCTCATATCTGTGTACTTCTCTAAATAATTGGAACTCCAGGTTTTCCTAGCCTAGATGTCACTGGCAGCGCACAATGGCAAAGTGACAGAAAAGAAAGTTACTGTGCACAGAGAAACAGCCCTTATAGTCTATGTAAAACTGAAGGCTCCAGCAGACACTGATGATGGTTGGATCACTGATGCAAAATGCCTGTCCCGCACGGAACAATGTTTGTGGCCAAGCATATTGTGCACCGCCCCAGGAACAGACACGTTAACTGATGCAATATTATTAGCAAAGACTGTATAGAAACTGGACAGGAACAGAGATTGGAGGTTCATGACTTATTACTTCCTCAATCAACTGTGATGACTAAGTCAGTTCCCATTTGGGCAGACACCTCTGTGGAACTTAAGATTTCGAAACAATTAAAGCAAGGCTTTCTTTCTCCTTTCTCCTTACAGGACTCTATTAAAAAGTGTAATCAGTCATCCTAAAGAACAAATGCCATGAACAAGGCTACAAACACCCACACTTGTGCGCGCACACAAAGGATGGGAGAAAGTGATAGGTTAGTCAATGAGTGGGCCAATATTAATTCAAGAATATATTCTTAAAAATTGTTCTGTGGTATTAGAGGGTTACTTAGAAGCAATCATCATGGCAAGTCAAGTGTCAACAACAAGCAGGCATTTGGGCTACAACGACCTCAGTATGATTCTTACCAGCTACGTACTGTCATGGTAAGTGCTGAATACCATACCATGTAGATTTCAAGATTATTTATTTAATCACTGTGGGAATAAGAATATTTAATAAGAATGAACAGAAAGGATGATATCTAAGGAGTGAATCTTCTCAAGATTAAGATTAGACTACAATAAGATAGCAATTCAATTCAAGTATCTGGCAACCATAGCAATGGGATAGCATACAGCCAAATGATGTCTCAAATTGGTCATTAACCAAGGGTTAAGTCCTCCTGCTAAAAAATTATAAACTTCAAACACCCTCCTAGCAGCACATACAGGCTGGCAATATGAATGCAACCCAGGCAAAGCACTGTGGACAAAATCTGTACTTTTTATTTCTTAAATTCTGGCAACAGATAAGCGATAACTGATTCTGTAGACTTATATGCTATTTGCTAATTACAGTCTGCAAAGCTGTGAAAGCATGTTTATACATAGGCAGCCTGACATCACCAATCCTTCATGTTTGTAGGTTCTACTGATAAGTTACCTCAGCATTTTAAACTCTCTGTATTCTCCGGGTGGACCAACAGAAATACTGAGAGTGGTAGTTCTCACGATATTGTGCACATCCCACAAAAAATTAATTGTGCACTCTATTCCACACTATATACCACTACACACATGAGAATAACTAAGTGGAACTTGTGTAACTTAGCCAAAGCAAGCACTTATATAGCCATAATCAGTAGTGCCATTTTTATTTTGAAACCAATTCAAAAGCATATATGGAAGAGCCCAACTTCACTAAATGTAATTTATTACTTTATATTTAAAAAAATGAAACTGATGAAAGGAAGCCATGGAAGTCACAGAAGACACATAGCCATCTAACATAAAAGTTGGATTATGAAGAACCCTAAAGTGCAAACACCTTGCATCAGGATGAATGCAACCCCTTCCAGAATAAGTAGGACATAAGTTCCGAGAATCTGGAGATCATCTGCAGAACTTCCATTTTATTGAAATAGAGAGTTGGTTTACTGGCAATTTATTACCAAGCTCTGGCACTGGTTTTGCACTTCTACTACCTCATCTAATTCAGATGCAAAGGCAACTCTGTGTTAAAATTACTATAGTAGGTTGTATGGGGACTGCTTTGAAAATGGAGTGGAAACTGCAGCTCTTGTTGCAGGACTGAAAGCAGGAGCCAAGACACATGATCATTCCAGTCATTTTTTTTAGCTGCACCAGTTCCCAATCTGTTTCTGAGCGCAAGTCAAAATACTCAACTTTCCTCCCAATCTGGGGCCAGGTGATCCCCCACATATATCAACCTAAAGACTCAGATCCTCTTCAAGCAAATCCCAAATAGCCTCCAGGGAGAGGCAGTTCAGCTTCTGAGTAAACATGCATAAGATTGCACTCACCACACTTTTCCAGTAGTTGAAGTGCAGAAAAGCATTTCTATGCCCTACAGAACAAGAGATGTTCATGATATTTAAAAGAGAGCAGCCAGTGGGGGAGAACAGTTGGAAACCCTGAGTATTTGAGACCAGTGTTACCCTACACTCCTCCCCAGCCTTATCTGCATCAGTGAGACTTATCAGATGTGCCCTGAACTCTTGCAAGCAACACTCCCTCCACCTCCGGATTGTCCCACAGAGCAAACGCTTGTGGGAATTGAATATGTGCCACAGGAGTAGGGCTGGTGCATATTCCCAGTTGCCACCCATCACACTTGCTAGAAAGCAGCACCATGCTTGCTAAAGTGAACAGGTTTTCTGAAGCCTATTTATTAAATTCCATAGGAAAAAAGGTAAAATTGGGCTACAATACAGCAAGCTGGAAGGCGGTTGGGAGAGAGATGCTAAAGAACTGGAATTACCATTTTATTTTTCATACCCTAAATGTTCACACCTCAAAACTTAAGCCTACTGCAAGTGGTAGCAAAACATCAAGATGCAGCACAGATCTCACAAACCAGGGGTGGGGAATTTGAATGGCACTTTGGTTGCTGCAGTCATTACTGCACTTATTAGCTGACAGAATTTCAACAGATACTTTATGCAGAGTTTGGAGGCTTATTGAATATTCACCCACAGGCCAAATATCTTGGTAAGAACAACAAAGCAATGGGTAAAAAACAAATCCAAAGGCTTACAAAAGCATACTTGCTTTAAGGTACAATTTCACTGAAGTTCTTGGGGCTACATTCCACTGGAGAACACAGGCAAAATTAAAATAGAGTCAAAACAACCATTTTCAAAACTACAAGTGTCCTGTTGCTTAAAGCTCTTCTTGACCGTAACTAAGCATTAGCAGACACAGCATTTCCACCTTTTAGAATGGGGGGAAAACTGAACAAAAACCAGGAAAACTACCGAATGATCAAGTGGTAGAATGAAGTTTAG